CTTTTAAAGATGAAAGAGCTATTCTTATCAAATAAGTTTTGAATGTGGTTCTTTTATTTACAGCACCAACTAGCCAGCCGATAAGGCCTCTTAGCGGTTGTAACTGAGAGACTTGAAATCAAATCCCACTTGCACTTGGGTTGGGGGTTATGGGTTTGAGGGATGGGCTACCCCCGTTGTGTAGTCCCATGGAGCCAAAAACAAAAAAAAAAGAAAAAAGAAAATGTAATTCTCCTATTTCAAATGATGTTCAAATGAACATACCCTCAAAAAGATTGATAAAATTCAAAATCAATTCTTTTAAAGCCCAAGAGAAGGCAAGAAAGCAATTGTAGGACAAGTTAGAAAAAGCTTTACAAATTAGTGATTTTTATTTTTAAGAAAATCATTAAGAATCCCTAGAGTTTTTGGAAAATCTATGAGAAGTATTTTTCCCTTTTGTGTWAGTTCTTTCATAATTTGAGGGAAAATAAAGAATTTTGTTGATTGTTTAATGAGATCAAAATATGACAAATTGAGCCATCCATTATTAACTTCTTGCTAAGTTGTATAAGAGGACATTAATGAGATCAAAATAGGACAAATTGAGCCCTCCATTATAAACTTCTTGCTAAATTGTATAAAAGGACAGAAATAGAATTCTTTTATGCATCTTAAATAACTACACAACATGTTTGATTTTTTTTTTTATAAATCGCATAACTTATTGAGTTGTAAATGGAGTATTTATTTGGACAAATTTAACTATTCTAGACACTTAGAGCTACATATTGATTTGTAGATGAATTACAATTTACTTGGAATTTATAAGATGTGGCAATGGATCTCCAAGGCTTTTGAACTTTTTTTTTTACTTAAAATACCCTCACTTTGAATTTGGTATCTCTCTCTTTCTCTTTCTCTATATATTATGAATATATAAATTGTAAATTCAATACTATTTTTCATTTCATTCTATCTCTCTCATTAAGTCTCATATTTAAGGTTAACTACCATTCTCTCTCATTGAATCATATGTTTAATGTATTTTTGTTTCTCATCATTAAATTTTACTAATTAAATTCACGAATAACAATTTTAATAGTATAAAAACTTATATATTCAAAATCAACTTGAAAACAAAACCGGTTTTTAAGTATGATAAATGAGAAGAATTTTTATTAATGATATAAATGAAATACAAAATTTAAAACTACCTTAACAATAAAACCACTTTCATGTTTGTTAAATGATGGAACTGGAATACAAAAGTTATGAAAAAAAGAAAATTAATGCCTATTCCATCACCCTACTAAACAAATCAAATGATTCAAGGTGGAAAAGGAACCTAAAATCCTGCTCAAGTAACAATTCAATTAATTTGATTAGTTTCTACGCAAGCAATGGTTCAAGTAGCACAATAAATTGAAATATTGATATAAGCTACGAAGTAAGAAGATTTAATACAAGTTTTTAAGTTGAAAGGCAATAAATCACCAGTATATATACAATTATTGTTGTTGTTATCATTTGAAATTGCCATGTGCAAAGCATGTGCACATTTAC